GCGCATTTACTTCCTCTTGCTTGTATTTTCGGATCTGTTTCAACTGGTACAGCTGAAAATCAGTTGCTGGTCTGCAGTCGATGAGACGTAGAAACCGGTTATTAGCTCCCCGGTACCACTGTATTGAAGCTGTTGATATACGGGCGCAAAAGTAAAGAAGAGGGTGCTGGCTATAACAATAACTGTAGAGTGAAGATTGCTTGCAGTGTCTCTTTGTGGTAATCTGAATATTCGAACTTTGTATCAGATGAGCGGCGTGCAGGATGAGATGCCTCACCCTGATGTCTAAAGTGAATAATTGATAGCGAGCGCCACGTCGGGGTCAGGGTCATAAAATTGCTTTCAGAAAACTTCTACCCAAGTCAAAACTGGCTTGGTTTTGTCTGTTCTGTTGAGTGTGTTTCACTCTTCCGCTTTTACCACCCATCTCACACAGGTCGGCAAGCCGTCTTTCTTACTAACAGCATCCTTAATCAATTGTATCACATCCTTGCAGTAGCTACTGCCATCCCTTTAATGCTTACTGACTTATGGCATGGACTGAGAAGAAGGGCATTCCCAATTTATCCCCAGTTCAGAGCCAGATCGCATCTCGGATGCCCATGCTCTCATCGTTGAATCTTCATTGGCCCCACCGTCTGTAGTCTCTTCATATAGGAAGCATGCTTTCCAGAATATCGGTTTTTGAGAATTTCGTTTAATCCTGCTTTCCTCGGATTTGCTCTTCACTACCAATTCTGGTTACTCGAGGTTCTGGTCAGCTGCCGTCATCGCAGCTCACCGTTACTGCACCAAAACAACTGGCATATATCATTTTTTAAACAGAGCTGTGCTATTTCTATTACCAGTTGAAACTAACAAGCATTACCATCGGACGATTCAATTCCGCCTGCAGGAAACCAGTCCCTCCATTCGCTGATTCGTTTCGATGGTAAATGGGTGCGGACGCACGCCAGGAATTGAGAACTGCCATCAGTTTGATTTTAAGCAAGCCTTTTCTTGTGGTCATGCATGTGTTTTTCAGTAAATTAGGAACGCGTTATAACACTTCACACCTGTATACGCACGTATCTGTTTAATCAGACTTAAAAATTTAGTCTTAAATTTTAAGAAAGTTTCTTTTCTGTGTCCTAGCTGTTGTTTCTCCGATCTAACCGTTGAGTAAGTGTTCGATTTGAAAGAAGAGGCCATATTAGGGCGGACAATGGATCCAGAAGTTTGTAGTGCTTATTTAGAAACTGTGCGCTCTGGGAAGTCTGAAATTGATGTTTGAAGTTTATTGTGTACTCTCTTTGCCGCAGACCGAAATTCAGATGCAAAATGATCTTGTGTGATTTGCCTATTTTTTTGTGCAGAATAAAAATACAGATTACGGTAGCCATGTAGTATTTGAAAATCGTCGTTCGACTTGCCTCGTCTCTGACACGTATTTGCTATTCATCGACAATTGCTTCACAAGGCTTGTTAGTGAGGAACTGGAAGCGCAGTCTTTCGGGTTTCGGAACAGTCACTGAGATTGCACAGATGAAATTGTAGATTTTTTCAGAACACTCCCGCCTTCAGTGCCTTCAATGTGTTTGCATCTGGTCACATATTTCCGAAACTTTGAACATCCATTACAGCTTACTATTACTTTGAACTGTTACTGTTATCACGGTGGCATATACTGATTCTGATGATATTCAGTACGCTTTAACGAGAATTCCGGGATTAAAAACAAGATGTCAGGTAGGGAAATCGAGTCGGCACCTCAACTTGGCCTACTGCTTCAGCAGATTCCAGGTCTACTTGTTTCGTTTTTCATCAGCTTTGTGCTGTTCTTGTAAATGAGCGGGTCACTATTACCCAACTCATGTGCTTGCTTGTTTGTTGTCCTGAATTGCGGGACTGATGTAAATCAGATTTGGATGTATGCTTGATTTGCCTTTTACATTGGTGGATGCCTACGCCAGCTCGTTTCCTCTACTTCTCCCTTACCTGCACATTAGTCTTAGTTGCACCTGTTCAGTACTGTCGAAGCCGTCATTCATGAGATGGCGCCGGCTCGGTGTAATGACAAGTGCCAACCATTCCTAGGCGCAAATCGTTGGTTGAAATCCATCAGCGAAGAAACCTAATCTCTGAACTGATGATTAGTTGATAATGTATGGAAAATATGTAAACCACTCCAAGCTTACTGACAAGTAACCCTTGAAAGAAAAAGTTAAAAAGGAAAGAGTGCTGAGAACCAGGAATTATTCTACCATATGGAATTTACTGCTTTTGCTTGGCGCGGTGAAAACGATTTCAAAAATATGTGTCAAAAATTGGCATCTGTCCGGCCCATCAAGCCTGACATCGCTCTAACGCTTTTCGTGGCGGCATTATTTAACCATGTAAAACATTATCAACCTTCCACTTCACAATGTTCGATTTGTCTCGGCAGACTGTGTGGAAGACTTTTCAGAG